GATGGAAGGTTGAAGATTTAAGTATCTTTTGATGTCTTCATAATGACCCTTAGTATTGGAAAATAAATCAGAGAAAATAAGAGCTTTTAAATCAGGGTTATTAAAGAGAATAAGAATAGTTGTACTGTTGTTAAGTGGTAGAGAAGCTGCGATTAAATAGGCATGATGAGTATTTTAATCATGAATTTTACAAGAGAATAGATTGTTAGTAACTACTAAATCAGAAGAATGTGAAGTTTTATCAGGAAGACAGGTACGATTGAAGTTAGAAGACGAATTATTATTAAGAGATTGTCTTGCTAAAGGCAAAGGGATTGGTATAGATGACATGGGAGTTGGAGGTGTGGTTACTAAATCAAAATAATATTTTTTAATAAGAGTATTATTTTGTTTTAACTATTCCGAAGCTGGAATTAAAGAATGATGAAAACAAGACAGAGGCTCATTAGTATTTAGGTAAATACAAATTGAGCCTGAGTAGATTTGCATAGTTCTATAATTGTGAGTAATTTCTATTGATTCTTCTAAATGGTGATAATTAGTATAGTAGTTGGTGCTGGGGAGTAACCTAGTGAGCATTCATATGAATCAGGGAGAGATATTTTCTAAATACCATTGGGACATTTTGAATTTCTGGGGGGATAGGTGTTAATATAGGCAGGTAGCATCTGGTAGTTTGTTTTTTACACCCACTGCAAACAGTAACTTTTATAGCATTTCGATTATTTACTCGAGTATAGACAAGAATGTCAAAAACATAAGTTAAAGAATAGTTTTCGGTATCATCATAAGTAATCCATTGTGCTGAACATTTTAATATTAAATTGAGCAGTATGCACAAGGAATAGAATGATAATTAATTAATATTTTAGTTTAAAATTATGTTAAAAGTTTTTATAGATCAGTTCTTTGAGAGAGAGAAATGATGTTAATAGGTAAAGGCGAAATAAGATTTGGTAACAAACAGTTATTGTCAGGAGTAGGAGTATTAGACAAGTTTTGATTTATTTCAGTTTTAAATAAATATATTTGTATTATCAGAATTGTCAGGTAATTCAGTATCTTGGTTTGAATTATTGATAAAAGTAATAAGTAAAAAACTGTGAATTTGATAATTTGGCATAATAGAGTTTAATATAGATACATAGTTAAAGCAAAAATAGTTCAAATCACAATATTTAGAAAAAAACATAGGATGAGTAAGGCTATTTATAATGAATTTATTATAATTTTTTTTATTGTGGTATTATTGTTTTAGAATTGTTAAAATATGAATATATTTATTATATTCATATTATTGTATAGCACTGTGTAAAGTATCTTTAGTAAGTATTACTCACTATAATTAAAAAGTGTCTTACTGGTTGATTTCTTGAATATGATTTATAATAATTTATTAAAATATCTTCTAAAATAGATATAGTACTCGGTTTTATACAAAGTAGCGATAGGTATTAAAAAATTTGAAAGCCAAAGTTTTGAATAAGAGGCTGTGTACTATATATAGTGATATACAATAAGAAGCAGTATAATAGCTAATTATGCAAGATTTTTTATTAAAATTGTAGAGGATAATTTAGGTTGAATTATAAGAAATTTATTGAGATAAATGAGCAAATTTTCAGATGGTAATAATGCTTTTCGTTATCGAAGGTTAAATTTGTAGGTAACTTGGTTATAAGATAGGTCGTAACAATTTTTTGAATAAATTTTTAGGATAAAGTGTGGAAGAGTATCAAGTTCAATATAAGTATGTAAGCATATGGTAAGAGTTTTTATATATTGATACTCAAATGATTTAGTTAAAGATAAGCAATTTATTATGATATATCAAAAGAATTTAGTTTTTTATTTATATAAAAATGAAGTTACAGAGAAATTCATAATAAATTTATTTAATTATTGTTAGAAGATTCTTCAAAAGATTGTTCAGAGTTGGTAGTTCAGATTTGATTTATGAGTTCCATAAGGTCTGTGGCAGGGGCCTTGTCACTTGAAGATTTTGAAACAGAAGAGAAAAGAGTAACTTTTCTTTTTTTATTAGAGGTTTGAGAATTTATTGTGGCATATTGTTCTTTAATGATATCAAGGTGGCTATTAAATTCTTTAGCAGATTTTTCTTTTCCGTTGACAAATGAGTTGAAGATTTTGGTTCATTCGCAATATAGCTCCATTCAATTTTGGACAAGATTATATGAGGGATCTTACTAGTAAGATTAAGTTTCAACCTTCCAACTGCTGAGACGACACTCTTCTTTAAGCTATCTTTAAGTGAATTGTAATGACGATTGGGGTTAGTATAGGATACAATTACATCTGATTCAATGCCTTTTTGGCTGGTTACAGGGTTGTAAAGTTTCTTGGATAACATAAAACTTTGTCTTCCAATAGAGGTATTAATTTTATAAGAATTTGTTATAGCAAGTGTAGTAAAGAGTAACAAGGAGAAAGCATAAGGAAGATCTTCTGGTGTGCATTGGAAGTCAGGATGAGGAGAAGAAATAGGGATTGTTTGAATAAGACAGAGCTGAAAAGAGAAGTATAATAATTTTATTGATGAGAAAATGATGTAATTTTTTGTGATAAGATTATACAAATTTAATTTATTGGTTTTATAATTTGAAAGTTTTAAATAGAGTCGCCTGGGCAGCTTTTTTAATTTTATATAATATTTTTATAAAATTTTTATAAAAATTTTGTTAAAAACGCATTTGGCTATTGGAAAATTTATTTTTTCAAAACTTCTAAATTTTGATATGGTTGAATTATGTAAACCAATTAATTAATTTTGTATAATTTAAGGGAACTTACATATTCAACACTTTTATGATAGATATATCTTCCGATCATAAGTACGATAGAATTCTTTTTGAAATCGATAACCAAAGTCTTGGTATTTCCAGTAAAATCTTTATAAGTGAGTTCTCTAAATACATCTTCATCGTCATTTGCACGATATAATATAGTTCTGCTTAAGAACTTATCATTTCCACTAACAGTTTTAATAAAACAAAAGACAATGAAAACAGAGGACATGATTTATGAGGGTAAAAAGAATTACGGTAATATTAGTTTATTTATTCACGATAATTGATTTATATAAAATTATTGATAAGAAAGGTAATCACTTGTAATTAGTAGGGCTTTTTTTTTGTATTTACAGCATTTATAAATTTGAAAAAAGATGGAATTGCAAGCAAAGCAAATTCATATCGTAATGGATATTCTGTACTTGGAATTTCATTAAAGAGAATTATGAAGTAGCTTGTATAAGTTTTTAGTTTTCTTGATTCATTTGTATTTTTCATTTTATTTAATGGGATGATACTTTTTTTTTTCTAGATTTTATCGCTATATCATACAATATTGTTTGATCAAATATTATAGTTAAGATGTATAATTGATGAAAAGTAGATATTTGCATGTTTAGATTATCTTAAAGAATTAATTCGATTTAGAGACACGTTTAGTTTTAATTAATAAGATCGTACAATTGAAATTTATTTCTAATTAGAACAGATTCAAAAAATTCAAATTACATAATATTGATATTATCTATATCTCATGATGAATCATTAATAAAACAATGGGACAGCTAGATTTTTCTTGTTTGATTTAATAAGAAATTTTTTATTTTTAATTTTTTATTATTAATTTACATAGTAATATAATAGTAAAGTGATAGAACTACTTGAAGTGAATAATATTCTTTTTTATAGTAGGTTATATTAATGTCACCAATTCATCT